TGGAGTACTGGGCAGAAGGTGTGTTGCACCACTAAAAACCAGGGTTGCTGCTCTTTGGTTTGAGTCATTGAGAACTGCTCCTAAAAATGTAGACTCGAGCAGTGAGTCTCCTGACCTCTTTATCTGACAAGCAACAAAGACCAGACACCAGCAAGCATGTAAATTTCATGAAAGTAAGCGGCGAGAGTTGCCGAAAGATTACACTTCAGCACAAGACCATTCTTTAAACCCTTCTAGGATGTAAGTATCATTTTTTTAACAATATAGAACACACTAGCTGCACCCAGACAAGAAAAAGTGTATTTGCCAGGAAAGAAAAAACATTTTTGCACAGATGAAGCAGATGAAAGTTCACACCAACTTGTTCTATATTAAACACAGTCCACATAGCTTCTGTTCGGCGGGCTGTCAAATAAGGGTTCCTCAAGGCAGGAGCTCAGGCAGACTGAGTTCAGGGCTTCCACTGTGCGCTTATGCCGTTCACAGACATCTCAACTCTCCTGGATTTTCCGAGAGTCTCCCGCTCTCGGAAAATCCCAGCGGCTCCCAGACACCCGAGAGAGAAACATTTTCTCCCTGAAAGGTTTACTCTCCTTATCTAGCAGGGCAAACCTTTCCCTGCTGTTTTTGTTTTTCCTCTTTTTTTCTTGACCTCAGGGCTCAGTCCTAAAAAAAATAAAAAATATAATAGGAATGAATAGCTAGATTGCTATTGGCTATTTCAATTTGGATTAGCCAATAGCAATCTAGCTATTCATTCCTATGCTGTTTTTTCCCCCATTCTGACGACAGCAGCTGTCAGAATACAAAAAAAAAAACAGCAGATAGGAAGGGAAGCATTGGCTTCTTTGCTATCTGCCATCATTTAAGGGGGTGTGCTCTCTACCTTGGGTTTGACAGAGGGCACCTCCCTGAAATGACTTATTTCAGGTTGGGATCCTTGCGTTCAGGCAGGTCACGGAGGTGGGTGGGCCAGACTTGTGATTGAGAGCCAGCAAGAGGGAGCTGTCAATGGCAAACTGTAAAGAATGGGGAAGTGCCAGCTGGTAAAGACTCGCGTGACATGGGTTAAACAACTTCTGCTTTAGATCAGGCGAGTTAGGCAGCCGCGAGGCCCCCACAAGTGCGAGGCCTTAGGTGGCCGCCTAACTCGCCTAATTAAAGAGCCGCCTCTGCGCAAGAGAATTTGTCAGGGCGAAACCAAAAATTACTTTTCCCACCGTTTTTTATATATTTTTTAAAAATTATTGTATGTAATATATTAGCCGATTTAATTAGTTTCATAGATTTAAAAAAACTGAATTGTAAAACTCCAAACCAATATAATATAATATAACTAAACTTTTATGGGGGGCAGGGAACGGGGAGGGGGGTGTATTATTTTATACGTGGGGGCAGGGAACAGGGGGAGAAGAGTGTATTATTTTATATGTGGGGGCAGGGAGCTTTATGGTAATATTGTTAAAGTTGTTAATATTTATTTTAGTAACTTTATTGCATAAAACATGTAACAGTGTAATTGATAAGATTATTTATGAGGGCGTGTTTAGGGGCGGAGTTAAGGCCGCGGCAGGGTAGGGGTTAGGTGGGCAACTGGTGGCGAGTAACTCTTAAGGCCTAGCTAGTAGCTAAGGACTTGAAATTTTGACCCCTGCATATATATTTATATATATATCTATATATATATCTATATATAGATATATATAAAATAAAAGCCCAGTCATTATTTTGGAGTTAGCCATGAATATTGCCCCGAGAATTTTTGCTCTCACTTTGGCGTACGTGATGATACCTGACATGTGTAGCACAATTGTAATTTTCGTAAGTAGGTGCACCCAACTTGTATTTCCGTTAGTATGGCCGCGTTACCCTAAATTTGGCAGAGAAGAATGTAACCAGCACACCAAAATCCTTTTAGGAAAATCAATTGGTCATTTTATTGAACAGATTGTCAATTGAAAAACAAGTGCTCTCGGGACCTCGCATCGTCCCTTCATCAGGCTCAACATCGACAACTAACAAACAAGACTGTGAGTTTAAATAGGCATACAGTTGTGAGACCACCCATGTGACCGCCCCACGTCATGCCCACTTGTGACATCACATGATTATATAACATGTTTATATAACATTCAAAAGTAATCAAAACAATATGAATTGAAGCATAGAGATGTTAATACATCATAGTAACATTACTGAAGAACATACATAACATTAATGATGTGTAAAAAGAGATCAAAAAGCGACTGCTGTAAGAAAGGATTAAGCCAACAGGGTCTCAGGACAGCAATCCGGTACAGAAAGGATTCAATCCACAAGGTCTCCGAGCAGCAATCCGGCAAAGAAAGGGTAAAGTCCACAGGGAGTCAGGGCAGCAATCCGGTACAGAAAGGGTTAAGTCCACAGGGTCTCAGGGCAGCAATCCAGCACAAAAAGGGTTAAGTCCACAGGGTCTCAGGGCAGCAATCCGGTACAGAAAGGGTTAAGTCCACCGGGTCTCCGGGCAGCAATCCGGCACAGAAAGGGTTAAATCCACAGGAGTGGGCTGAATACGGGGCCCCGCACCTGGGCGCAGGCATATTGCCTGGTGCCCAAGTGCCGGGCACCCTGCTGGGTCTGACTTCTTGTGAGCTTTTGATCTCTGGGCCAGTGCGGCCGGGAATCAAAAGCTACTTGCTGTGTTGGTGGGGGGACAGACAACTGTATGGCTCCCTGCATCCTTTGATCACCTGGCCAATGCGGCCTGCTTCTCTACTAGGGGCCGGGGGTTTGCGTGCCTCTGATGGGGATAACAGTGACAGTTGTCATTGGGGAAAAAATACCCAGCATCACTGATCAGTGGGTGCCAGGCTTCATGATCAGTGAAAAAAAATACCTGGCTTTAAAGGTCAGTGGGAAAGAAAAATGCCCTGTTTCATTGTTCAGTTGGAAAACAAATGCCCCAGCATTAGTGGGAAGATAAAATCCCCCAACATGGGGGGAGGAAGAATGTCCCTAGCGTCAGTTGTCAGAGGGAGGAAAAATACCCTGGAGTCAGTGGTGTGAAAAAATACCCTGGCATCACTGGTCAGAACCCATGTCCTGGCATCACTGGTCAGGAAACAAATACCCCGGCAATAGTGTAAAGCTCACCACACATTTTACAATCTGGTTGTACAATCTCCTTTAGATCTAGCAACAACTATGTAGTGCAAGGGCCTGTCTGATTGGATGTAGATTGATTGAATGGAATAGGTAGGTCCTCATATTACATAGATTTGGTAAATCTAAAATTGATTGTAAAAAAATTGTATGGTCAGATTGTTACGTATGTTGACCCTCGGTGTGAGGAGGATGTGGCCCAGTGTCAGCAGGAAATAAAAAACATCACACCTCCCCTTCTTCAGAACTCATATTAGCCACTTTAACCTCCGTTTAGCCCATTTCCTCCACTCCAGACCTCAGATCAGCCCCGCTTTATCCATCCCCCTCAACAACCTCTTCAGACCTCAGACTGGTCTGGTGCTATAGGGCACACTGCAGAGGTCTATCCCAGATTTGACTTGCTGCTCTGTCATGTGACGTGTTGCTCACATGACGAGACAAAGGAAGTGGGGTTAGATTTCCTCACTCTCCTTTGTGGGCACCACTGTCACAAAAAGATCAGATACCATCACTGGCTGCTAAAACATGGGGTGGGTCTGTACGAACCCAGATTAAGTTCAGATCCCAGGAAAAGCGTGAAGACTCAGGGGTATGTGTATGGCCAGTATAATGGTTTAATTAATTCACCTTATTTTTAGTATGTGTTACACTTTGGGGACATACAAATAAAATCTGGCTGGTAAAAATAAATGGCATTTTCATAAAAAAGAACAAAATTTAAATAATGTTCTTATGCTTTGTTTATATATATTTTCGCTGTTTCATGAAGACATCGGCAGTAAAAAGCACTTTACAACTTAATGTAAAACCTGACATTTTAGGAAAAAAAGTGCTTGAGTGCAAGTTCTAGTATTATTATTAGAGCTACAGAGAAAATCATAAAAATATATGAAGGTTGTTAATAAAGGTGTAGCGCTCACCCTGAAGGAGCCGCCAGAATAACCCGGGTATTTCTGTCGCCAAGCCAAAATGTACCGCCCAAATAGGGTCCACAGCACACCAACACACCTGAGAGAGTTTTGTAAGCAACTATACTGAACAGTATAGATATAATTGTCAAGCATTGCATAAATTAACACATTAAAGAGTGTACATCGAGTATTCAGACACATCTATCCGCTGAGATATGCAGTGTTGTGAGATATGCTATCGTTGACTTTGAGCACATGATTACTAATGTCCCCATCTCAAGGAATTTCCAACTCTCTATACTACTGGCCAGTAGCAATAGTCTAGGCTAGCCATCGTTGAGGCCCATGCTGTGTTGATGAAATGAATTGTAGAAATAATACAAATGGCCAAAGGGCTCTCACCACTCCTGAGGTCAGTCTTGTAGCTGTGATGTCCATCAGCGAGAGACAGGATCGCCTTTCTCTCAAGCCAACACCTTTGCTGGTCCTGAAGTCATCTAGGGTCTCTTGAAGAAGATCTCCGGTCACAGGAAACGCTGGGTAGCATTAGGCCTCCCGCGCATTGCTGGGCCGTTTTGATCCCTCACTGCACAGGCTTTGCCGTTCATGCAGGCCACGATATCCTCACTGCACTGATGGCGCGGTGACTCACCGAAAGCATCAGCGGCAGCCACACACCTCTGTCTTCTTCACAGGATTCTCAGCAGCCCCAGCCCAGAATCACCCCTCCTCTCCAGACATACAGCCTTCTGGGAATTGCGGTCCCTACACTCTCTCACGGCACAGCTTATTACTATATCTGTACTGCAATCCCCCCAAGTCTCTGAATCACTGACCGTTCAAAGGTCAGTTAAGTTTACAATCAGTGTATTATTTATTCACATAGCAACATATGTATATAGGGGCTACTTAGGAAAGATGTTTAAATATTTTATTTTGTTACAGGAACCATGCAGCAGATGCTATTCCGCTTTGGTGTAGTCATCACTCTTAACCACACTGATACTGAACTTTTGGTACTGGGATCGCGAAAGGAGATGGGGGCCTGGGACCCTCAGTTTGCTGTACCAATGAAGCCTACTCGGTGTCCTCTGTCTACAATTGAACCATCTCTATGGGTGGGGGAGGTATTATTGGAAGAACCATATACTGAAAACCTCTGGTTCAAGTTCATAAAGAAAGAAGCTGGTGTCCTAATCTGGGAAGGTAACATTGGTTACAACATTGTACCTGATATTGTGGCTGGAAATTTCTTCTTTATTTTGTTATTAATTTATTAATGCAGTGGTGGCTTTTAAATGGCTTTTGCATTACGAATCTACAGTTAAAATTACAAAAGAATACTATCAATCATATTATGATATACAGTATATATATATATATATATATAGATATATATATATATAAAGTATATGCTGTACCATGCCCCAAAATGTAAACCCCCGAAACCTCTAAACCATGCAAAGGAATACCAAATATGTGTAACATAATGAGGTTTAGGTATATCTTTGTGCTTTTAGGTATATTTGTGTGCTTTTGTTCATGTGTGTGTGGGTGTCGTATGCATGGAGTTGCAACATTTAAAAAAAAATATTTTATAACTTCATTTAGTCTTTATACTTTGAGTTTTATTTATTATTGAATACTATGAACAAAAAGATAAATAACCCGATATGTCCACTTTTGAAGAATTATTTTGGGTCCAAATGGATCCTTCAATAAATCAAGCCCAATCTTTCACTAGATGCTCAGATGACTAGGCTGAAGCTAACTTATTTCGGACACATTTATGAGCAGAACCAAGTCACTGGAAGAGACAGTTATGTTTGGAAAAGTTAAAGAGCAAAGAGGAATAGGACAACCAGCAAAAGGGGGCTGTATATAGTCATAGAAATTATGAAAATGCAGTTGCGAAGACTTAAGACTGTTGGGATGCCATCTACGTTGGCGTGAACCCTCTAGGTACACAGTGAGGGATAGCCCAAAGAGGTTTCATAGACTTTTCCCAAAAGTGTAGGCCAACAGCCAGTTTATGGTTAAGACCAGCACCTCAGGGCAGTTCAGATCACAGAGCTGGGCCTGCAGAGTAAGAGCTATGTGGAAGCACACTGAAAGAGGGAATACGTCTTATCTATCATTCCATCATATGACACCAATAACAAACTGAATCTTTTTTTAGTATCAAAGATCAAAGATATTTTCAAGCATTACAAACATAATAATGTGTTGCAATATACAAAATTAATTTATGAAAAGATCATGATATTTATGACACAGGAAACTGGATTAGGGTTGCTCTGGAATGGGTAAGGCCTGGTAGTAGGATCAGGACTTGCTTAAGTCACAGAACGATCTAACATGAGAGCAGGTGATGTGGTATCCACCAGCTCGGTATGCATCAGGATTCCCCTCATGGGAATTTGGCCTTTGCTGCGTGCTGACTCCAGGTCACCCTGCTCAAGCATTACAGACTATGAGTCAGAGGTTACTAGGAACAGTACAGAGGTCAGGGCTGATTGTGGCATGGATTGTCGGGAGCAAGCCAGAGAACAGAGCTGACAGCAGACATGGTTAACAAAGCACAAGCCAGAGGTCAGGACAGGCAGCAGACATGGATAGCCAGGAATGAGCCAGAGGTCAGGATGAGCAACTGACATAACCAGGGCAGTGACCTGCACTAGCTTAAATAGGGTAAGCAAAAGAAAGGAACCACTTTGATTGGCCACAAGCTGACAGGGAGAGAAGGGTGCAGCACTGATTGGCTGACAAGCTGCTATAACAATCAGCAGGTGGGATTGGGAAATGTCTAAAACTGCCATACCAGTACAAGAGCAAGGTAGGAGCAGAGCATGTTAGTAAAACTACAGGTAGCAGAACAGCTTAGCTGCTGATATGAGACACATATTTGTTGAAGTACAATAACGGATCAGCGGCATGTGGATTATTCTGGAGAAACAGTATTCATGTGGTTGCCAGGAGTTGATGTTGACTTGATGGCAGTGTGATCTCTGCCCGGCAGTCTAACTATATTTCCGGCTGACTCTGTCTCAGGTGCAAGATATGCTAGGTACGCCACTACCTCCTAGCGCTGGTCCTTTACTGCACACTGCTGCTTACAATTCAGTTTAAGCTCCTGAGTGTCCTATTGGTCGCTTAGTAACTTTTTTTTTTTATTTATTCGTTTATTAGCTGACAGGTCATCAAAACAAGGTTACAGTCATCAATGTTTGAACAACAATCGTATATGCAACCATCAAATCACATGTGATTATTGTACGTTACATACAGTTCTTGTAGAAGCATTTCGTGGGTATATAACTTTTCAGTTATCATCAAACAGAACCTTTAACTTATTCCTAGTAAGAGTGTTCAACATAGTTTCATCCGTGAGAATCTGCAGTCTGGACACAGTTGTGTTGTGATAATCGTTACTGTATTGAACCGCTGAACGCAGAGAGTGTCATCAACGATATAGTGTAAAAAACATGTTGTGGGAAGTTGGAACTCAGCCTCATCCAAGGCGCAAGTGCTGGGAGTAAAGATAGGTGTTAGCAAGGAAAGAGCAGAGTAGGCAGAGGGGAGTAGTAGGCACAAGCGGAAGGAAGGGGTAGAAGAATGGGTATGATCCTGAATCGCTGCCAGGGTCCCCGTCCAAGGAGGGATCCACCACCTCCGACAGCTGAGGAGCTAGGGTCCCGACAGGGGAGGTCCCCTCAGGCAGTGTGACCCAGGAAGGCCACCATGTCTCCCAAGAGTGCGGCCTCAGTGTCAGTCTGACATAAGGTCCGCTTATGTGGTGGAGTGTTGGAAGTAGATCCATGGACCCCAGGTGGTCAAGAACTTCCCTTCGGTGTTTCTGAGGGAGGCCATCAGATCTTCCAGAGTATACACCTCACTTATCTTAGAGAGCCACAGCGAGATGGTGGGCGGGCTCGTTTGTTTCCGCAGCAGGGGAATAGTGGCTCTAGCAGCATCTAACAGGTGGCGCGTGAGTGACCTTCGGTATTTTGAGAGTGGGGCGGTCGACATGTGTAGCTGACCCGCCGCCGGTTTGTCCCTGAGGTCCGTCATGGTCAGGTCTTGAATGACAGATATCACTTGATCCCAAAAGGATTTCAGGACCGGGCATTACCAGAAGGTATGTAACATCATGCCCGAGTCTGAACCACACCTCCAGCACTGGGCAGGGATCACAGGATTCATTTTGTGTAAAAGCCAAGGTACTCTGTACCAGCGGGATAGAATTTTGTAGCCCATTTCCTGAATTTTGCTGGCCATGGACGATTTGTGGGACATGGTGAGTATGACTCGGGTCTGTTGTTCGGTAAAGACGAATCCTAGTTCCCTTTCCCACTGCTGCAAGAACGATGGGTGGGAGGTGGAGGCGGGTGCACTGATCAGTTTGTAAATAAGGGATATTGCATGTCTCATGGGTTCTGTCCCCGTACACATCATCTCGTAGTCAGTAAGGGGTCTATCCAGGTTCTGGGGATTAGGGATGGCTCGCAAAAAGTGTCGGAGTTGCATGATACTCCAAGAGTCTAGAGGGGGGTCGGTAAGGGATCGTATAGCTGGGCCCGAAAGCCAGTTGCAGTTGGATCTAAAATTGATTAGTCTGAACTTGTCTACTGTCACCAGTCTGGAGAACCGTGCCGTGTCCGCTCCCGGCGTGAAGTCGGGATCTCCTATCACCGGTGTTATTGGCGATGGGGCCGGAGCTAGTGTGGTGTGCTTGAGCGTCGCCCTAGCAAGTCTGATTGTGGTAGAAATCAGAGGATGGTCCCGCACCGACAGCGGGGTGGGGGACGAGATCCAAGGGAGCCCTTCCAGTGGGTATCGACATGATGCTCTGTCAAGGGCTACCCAGAGCTTATCTTCCTGGTGGGTGTGCCAGTCCAGAACCCTATTCAGGTGGACAGCTTTGTGGTACAGTTGGAAGTCCGGCAAGCCCACCCCCCCTCTATCCCGGTAGAGAGTCAGCGTTTTCCGGCTGATCCTCGGGTGCTTGTCCGCCCAGACAAAGCTCACCATTGCCCTATGAAGACGTTGGAAAAAACTTGCGGGGATGAATATCGGCAATGCCTGGAACAGATAGAGAACCCTTGGCAGGATGTTCATCTTAATTGCTGCACATCTGCCAAACCAGGAAATGGTGTGTGCAGACCATGCCCGCAAGTCCCTGGTAACCTCTGCCAGTAAGTTAAGCGCTAGGGAACGTTTATGCGCGGATTCCAGCGTATGTAGGCGTTCAAATAATTGCACCACTTGTTTAGCTCCCTCCTTTTTCTTTCGAGCACCGTGTTTCACTAGGACGCCCCGTACGACACACTTGTGGACCTCCCATGCAATCACAGGTGATGCAACCGAGGGGACATTGGTGGCAAAGAAGAAGGCTAGCGTAGCTTCTACGTCAGATTTGATCAAAAGGTCCTGCAGAAGCAATTTGTTTAATCTCCACATGAAGCATGGGGTGGAAGCCACGGTTAAGGCTAGAGACATATGCAGCGGAGCATGATCTGATAGGAGGATGTTATCAATCGAGACTGAACATACTCGAGGGAGGTCTTTATGTGCTATAAAAAAGTAGTCCAATCTCGAGTACGTCTGGTGGGCTTGCGAAAAAAAGGTGTAGTCCCTATCCTGTGGGTGAGTGAACCGCCAAGGTGTAGGAGGTGGAGCTCCGACCTCAGTCTCCTCAAGTATGAAAAGGCCAGGTGGGAGGTACCCCTAGATACGTCTAGTAATGGGTCCATTGCAAAATTAAAGTCCCCCCCCCAGCACCAGGATGCCATCAGTAAATTCTAAGAGGACCTGCACCAGGGTGCGAAGGAAGCCCAGTTGGTCTGAATTTGGGAAGTAAACATTGGCTAAGGTCACTGGGACGCCACCTATTGTGCCCTTCAGGAGAATAAATCTGCCATTTGTGTCAATGTATTGATCGGTGTAAGTCCAGGGAACTGATTTAGCCAGGAGAATAGAGACACCCTTAGATTTGGAAATGGGAGATGGACAGTGATACACCACCGGGTAGTCGCGATTGAGCAAACTGGGGATCTGGTCACTTCGGAAATGGGTTTCCTGAAGAAACACTACCTGAGATCCAGATTTCCTCAAAACTGCGAGCAGTCTAGACCTTTTCTCGGGGATGTTTAGACCCTATACATTTAGGGAGGTGAATATCATAGCCGCCATTTGGTCCGATAGGG